TCAGTTAGAATAGGTCTTTTCGGATGTAATTAGCTAATTATGATGGAATCCTATTGGATTAGGGTGGGTCCCGTTCCAATGACTGGCGTCCTTATAAGAAAACAAAGACACTGACAGACATACAGAGAACCACATGACAAGAGAGGCAGAGACTGGAAAGATGCCGCTACAAGCCAGGGAATGCCAAGGATTGCCAACAACCACCAAAATTTAAGAAGAAAGAAGGAAAGGTCCTCCCCTAGAGCCTTCAGAGAGAGCACGGCCCTGCTAACACCTTGATCTTGGACTTTAAGCTTGCAGAGCTGTGAGAGAATAAATTTCTGTGGCTTGAAGCCCTTCAGTTTGTGGTACTTGCTATGGCAGCCCCAGGAAACCAATCCACTCCCTACTGCACACCTGTTCCCCAAACCACTCTTCCTGGTCTCAGCCTGGCGGCAGGAGGGAAGACACACAGGCTAGGCCTCCCGCCCATGGGGACTTTTCCACATCCCAATGCCCATCAGCATTTCTCTCATTGAGGGGAGGGGGTGCAGGGATCATGTTTCAGCTGCTGCCCCCACCTTCTGCCCTGAGAGGCAAACTGGCAGGGGAGTTTGTGTTTCCTTCCCTCAGCCTCCCAGCTTTGTAGCCTCTTTAAATTAGACTGATGTTTCTTCAACTTCAATCATGCAGTCCCATCCTAGATATATATACGTATTTGGCCACAACTAGGTGCTCTCTCTGTCATACCGTTTGCCTAGTATTTCTTTATGTCGAAACACTGTTTTTACTTAAATGAATTATTTAAAAGAAACTGCTAAATCATTATTACAATAAATGGAAAATCACATCATTTATCTTACCCAGAACTTGCTAGATAATACGTACACATATTTTTAGGTTGCACATTAAAATGAATACACAATATTTTTTAAAGATCCACTCATGTACCATTTAAAATAATCTCGGGTGGCAATACTATAGGAAGTACTGCCTTAGAGGTACAGTGACTATCTCCGTTTAGTTGGCTCTGAGGTCCTAATCAGAAAAACCAACTTCAATCTCTCCAATCTCCTGTCCCCCAACTCCCCAACCCAGGTAAAGGGCCGGAGGAAAGAAAGGCACCCAGGAGTTCCGAGTCCTACAACGGGGCGACCTGAGAACACGGAGTCGAGAGCGAAAGAGACTACCCAGTCCTGCGAGTGACAAGGGAGGGGAGGGACTGACCTTCTCGCGCAGGGTGCAGTGGACGTCCGAGGCGACGCGCCCTTCCCACCACGGCTCATCCATCATCGAGTATGCAGCGCGGCGATCCGAGGCTACCGCGCTCTCAGGGCGCACCCTGCGTGGACACGGGCAACTTCAGCACCGGAGCACGCCCCCGGCTCCGACCCCCGGTATCCCTATCCTCGCTCGCCCCCGGCCCAGGACTCGGACGGGCGCCCCTTCCTGTGCCGCTCAGCGGAGCTGGCGATCGCCTCCCGTCCGTGGAAGGTTGCGGTGCCCCCTCCCCTTTGCTCGTGGACACGGGGCGATCTGGAGCTGTGCAACAACTTGCAGAATTTTTATCTTCCCTTTTGCAAAAGTTGCAGAGAAAGTTGCCGACTCCGCTGGCTCGCCCGAGGCTGGGGCTCCGGCGGCGGCCACCGGCTCGCCGTCCCCAACTCCTCCCCCGCCGCCCAGCCTTTGTCCTGCTCCCACATCCTGCCCTCGAGCCGGGGTGAAACTCACGCATCCCTCTCCAGGCGTGGGGGGCTGCGGGCGCCAGGCACCTCCCAGGGCCGAGCCAGCGGTGCCCTCGGGTGCCTGCCCGCGGCTGGACCCTGGCCCGGGGCGCTCCACACTCTCGACGGCCACCTCCGCAGCCCGGCTTGCCCCGGCCGCCGCCGCGCCCCTACGTGCGCTCGGGTCCCGCCGCGGCTCGCAGCCTCCCGGCCGCCGGGGGCCTCCCTCCCTCGCTGGGGGAATTGGGGGCCGGGCCTCGCGCATGCGCCGCCTGCTCCCCCGCGCCCCGCGGGGCGGGGGGCTGGGAATTGGAGTCTTTCTTTGCCAGGGCTGGCTTCGCTTCCTGCCCGCCCTCCTCCCTTGCCTCGGCGGAAAGCTTCCTCTCACCTTCGCGGAGACTCGCCGTGGCCTTCTGGGCACCCCGCCGGCTTGCGCGGGGAGCAAAGGGACCGCGGCACCACCTGCGCCCACCACGCGTGAAAGGCGCAGGCGGGATGCCCCGAAGAAGTTCTGCCTTCCGCGTGCACTGCTCTAGCCAACCTTACGTCGGTTCCACCTGTTTTTCTCTCTTTCCTTTTTTTTAAAAACCTGTCCTGCGAAGGGGAGTTAGATTTCCAAACGGACAATTCCCCTGAAAGCTCCAGAAAAGCAACTCTTGATTATCCACAAGTTCCCTAGTCCCTAATTCTAAAGGAGGCTCAGTAAGTCACTGGCATTTATTGTGCTCCTGCAAAGTATTGATGCACGCCTTACATTGGAGGAAAACTAGTTTTTTTGGAGGATAGGAAGCATTGTCTTTTTAATTCAGTTGATTGTTTACAGAGAGGCATTCTCTTGAATCAGCCCATCCGACGGCATAGCATTGGGCTGTCCTCTTGGCTGATTGATTTTTGTGATAGTTTTGGAGATTCACAAACTTGAAATTAAGTCCTCATACCAACTGGGTGATTTTTGTCAAGTTCCTCTAACTCTCAGAGCCTGGGACCCTTTCATGAGAAATGGGAATAAAAGTTGCATGAACCTGCTAGACATATCATTAAATGAGATAATGCTTGTAAAGAAAGGGATAACCACCATACCAGGTATAAAACGAGCTCTCAATAAATAACTGCTACTAAAGAGCCTTTAGAGTTTGGCTGCTTTCCTGCAAGTAAAGACCCATCTGGAAAAAAATTTTTAAATCAGCTTTGAGAAGCTTCAATTGGAACTTGAAGAACAGTTTTAATGTGAAAAAAAAAAAATTAGGAACTCTTGTAAAAGTGTAAAATACCTAGGAATAAACTTAATAAATGTGCAGGCTCTTAACGAGGAAATTACAAAGGTTGAAATATAAAAAGGAAGGCTTGAAGAAATAAGAGGAGGTAAAAATACCAACTTAAACCAAATTACTCTATTTAATAAAATGTTAATGGTTGCGGGTAGATGGGGGGACATAATTTTTCTAACATTCAAGTGGAAGACTATCAGTAAGAAAAGCTAAGAAATGTATATTTTAAAAGTGTATAGGGAGGGGAGGGTAGACCTGTATTACCAAATCTTTAAACGTATTACAAAGCTATCATTAAAACAGTGTGGCGTTGACAGAAGAATGGGTGGATGAAGCATCAGTGGAATAACTCAAAGTCACATGCAGTATACTCAAAAATTCAGTGTATGGCCGGGCGCAGTGGCTCACGCCTGTAATCCTAGC